CGGACTGGAGCAGCGGGCGATGGAAAGTGAAAGATATAAAATGGAAAGGGAAGGCTAGGGTTGATGCCAAATTTACCCAAAAAGGATTTAGTTTGAAAAACAAGAATTACAGACCTTGATTAGTTGACCGTTAGCAGCAGAACTTGAAATTTGAATTTTCTGCCGTTAGAAGCAGAACTTGAAATTTGAAATTTCTGCCGAACGAGATATTATTTCTGACGAACGGAAACTGACGAACGGCGAATCCGAACTGGAGCAGCGGGCGATGGAAACCGAAAGATATGGGTTTTGATTTTTTGAACAATCTGAAATGATATGCCGATATGGGTTTTGATATAGGTAATAGGTTTTCCACTTTTGATTCTTGTAGACAGATAGATAAACTGAAAAATATGGGTTCTGAACTTCTGATTCTTGTAGATTTTGTAGTTTGCAGTTGCAGAGATAGAGAGACTAATGAGTTTTGAAACCCTACACAAAATCAAGATTGCAGTTGCAGAGAGAGAGAGAGAGGGCAAGTTCAGAGTTGAGAACGAGAATAGAGATGGAGTCGATTGGGGAGGCTGAAATTATTTGCCCAAAAAATATTTTTCTGTCTGGCGGCCCATCATTTATGGGCCCATAAATTTTTAGGCCCATAATTTTGATTATTTCTCACCGGTTTTTTCTCTTTCGACCCGAATTAAACCCGACAATGAATCTGAATTAAACTTGACAATGAATCAGATATGATTTTTAAAAAAAAAAACTGTAGCACAGGCTCCAAATTTGTTGAGAAACAAACCAACATACAACAGCGGAAACCACCAAAGTTAGGAAAGCAGCAAGTAGAGTGACCCAAAGTTAGACAGTCATCAAAGCAACAACTCCAGCAACAACTCCAAGGCTGTATCCACAAGGTGCCGCCGATTGAGAAAAAAACCACCCAACCACGCACAAGAAGGCAGGAACAACAAAACCCAACATAGATCAGAGATCTAACTGGAGACAAAACAATAATCCACCCCGTCGAGCCAGAAAACCAACCAAGCAGGAGTAGATCTGACAAAACAATAGCAAAATAGTGTAAAACCACCTACCGATCAACTATTTACAATACGCCGAGTTTATTATGCAGTGGGTGGCAAGGATCGACCCCTTCCCACTCCCATGAAAGGGAGTGGAGAGGAAGCATAAGAAAGAGAAGGAAGAAAATGAAGGGCGGCGACTGAAGTGTTAAAGTGAGGCGAGAGAAAAGAGAGAGAGAAAGATGAATCTATTTAATGTAATCGGATAATTTGACGGTTTTTTATTAACTCTATCCATTTCTGTTTTTGTTATTTTATTATTCAGTTTCAATAATCTCTCCATTTAGGATCACAACTTTTAATGCTTTTCGCTGACAAAAATTAAAAACTATTGGGATTTGACATTGTAATTAGTTCATGAAATTCATTGAAATTTAAGAACAGCATAAAAGAGTTGTTAACTTCAACTTTGAAACTAAATATTATTCACCCAATAATTTAGACCATTGCAAGTTTGTACAGCAAAATAGTTGGTGACTGTCCTAGTAGGTTAAAGAGCCTTTTTCCTCCTAAAACAGACTTCATTTATATACAACGTAATAGTTTGTACTTAAATGAAGTCTTTATGCTTCTGGGAACACACACACAATCCTAGACTGAAAAATGGATTATTTCTCACTTAGCATAGCAAGGAAACAGAACTATACAAAAGGCGATTTGTTCTGATCCAAAAGACGGCTTGAAATGTCTCACAAGACCAGTAAAGATGTGAGACATTTCAATATTTTGCTGCTACCTCCGGTTACGTTTAGAATAATTTATCAAACTCCGAATTTAGACAATATAATTAGAACATATATTTTGTGTTGCAAACTTCAACCCCTCATAATTTTTTTGGGCTTTTAACATTCATAAATTTACATGATTCAGTGTCTACATACAAAAACCACCTCATCATTGGGTGCAGATTTTTTCTTTTTTTTGGGTCAACTATACAGAGACAAACTACACTCTACTAGCTTAGCTGGTAGCAGAAATTTCTTGAAAACAAATAAATTTGATTTAAATAGAATACAAGAGAAGCTAATGTAAGCTTGGCGATCGACTACATCTTCCTTTAAAGTAATCCTTGAGGGAAAGTCTACTGCTTTGCTCCATGCTGCTGATAGATGTGGAGTTGTCATCCAAATCAAGGAGCGCGACACCCAAATGGGACTCGGCACTTGAGTCTGGATAAACTTCATCTCGTTACTTTCCGGGTTTTCAGAATTATTCCTGTCCCCAAACTCGGAATTCACCCACTCATCCACGCCTTTCTCCCCTCTTAAGATCTTCAGTGTCTAATATATAAGAAAGAGTAAACAAGGAATTGTAAGTTCGATGTTAAAGGGGTGTTTAAGAATAGGTAAACATAGTGAGCAACCATTATGGAACTGATATTACCTCGTTCATTTTAGGACGAAGCCTAGCAGATCGTGTGAGACAGAGGGTTGCTGCTAGAGCCATTCTCTGGATTTGAACCTCACTAATTTCATTATCCAAATTCGCATCCAATATGCTGGCCAAATCCCCTCTCTCTAGTTTGGGTTTTTCCTAAAAATGAAGTACTTGATTATTTACATAACTGGAACACTTTTGGAAGTGAAAAGTTTGTGTTATAGAGAAGGCCCTTACCCAGATGATCAAGCTTTCTTGTCCATTGGGAGTTTCTGAATTGATCAGTTTTCTCCCTGATAACAATTCAAGGAGCACTACACCGAAAGAGTAGACATCAATTTTGTCGCTGAATTTCCCATACATGAAATATTCAGGTGCAAGATATCCAAAAGTTCCTACTACGTCGCTGTGTGTTAGAAAAGGTGAAGACGTTGGCCCCCATATCGCAAGCCCAAAATCAGATAACTGCGACAGAAATGACAATCAGCCATACTGTAAATTATAATAACTTCAATCTGTATTAGTCCAGTGAAGCACCTACGGTTCAAACTCATCCGAGAGAAGAATGTTCGAAGATTTGACATCTCTCTGAATAATAGGCGGAAAACATTCATTGTGCAAATAATTTAGAGTGTAAGCGATCCCAACAGCTATATTGAATCTCACTTCCAATGACAGAAGGGGTTTTGCTTTGTTATAACCTGCCTTGTAGAACAATTGCATATTAGCATAGTTTCGAAGAAATTTAACCAATTACTCGTAAAAAAAAAAAAAAAAAACATGAATATCAGCAGAAGCTTTTTACCATGTAGATTTTCCTCCAAGTTTCCTTTAGGCAGTAAATCATAAACAGACATTAGATCTTTATCTTCAACAGAAATTCCAAGCAGAGCAGCGATATTTTTGTGCTTCAAAGAGGTCATAATATTGTTCGACGACTTCAAAATCTTCACTGCCACTGGCTTGCCCTCAGGAAGAAGCCCCTTGTATACACAGTTACACCCTCCTTTCCCGATCAAATTTTCTGCAAAGAAACCAGATGTTTAGGAAGAGAATACAATTAAAAGAGGAATTAACTTGTTATGTCACAACCAAATTAGAGGCAGTAACCTGAGGAGAATTGAGGCGTTGAAATTTTCAAAATTCCATGCCGAAACCACTTGCAGGCAGATGAATTTGTTTTGAGGAGAAGCTCCAAATTTTCGCTTAGCTCAATCTTGCCTGCAAAGTTGCTACTCTCTCTTCCCAAAGGAAACTCGGTTCTACTTGAGCTAAAACTAGCCTCGGATTGAGGTGTTTCTTGCAAAGACCGGATTCGTAAGCTCATCATCACCCATTGCACCACAGACATATTTCTTGCTTCCGGGGCTGTTGGCATTATTGCACTAGCTGTCCGGAGTAGGGGCCAACCACGCTTCTGCTCTGCAAAGTCCTCTGTTGAAAAAGAAAGTGAACGCAAAGGAAGTTTCCTGTCTTTCTCGGTAGGGCTTAAATTGTCATCTTTCGACTCTCCACTGCTCTCTCTCTTGATCCATCTTCAAAGCTTTCAACCACTCCATGACTGTCTTGTAATCTCTGATATCTCAGATCACCAAATTCAGAATGGTCACCTTTGAAAGTTGAATTTCCAGCAAGATATAAACCGCGTTTCGGATCTCCTGTCAGACCTATTATCATCAGAATCAATTCAATACACCCTCCCCTAAAGATATAACTATAACTGGTTCTTTCACAGAAAGGGATACCGAACCTGCTAGTTGGGTCGTTGCACTCATTCTGAAGCCAACCTTCCCATTGTGGATAGCTAGAACTTCAGTGGTTGGAGGAAGTCGCTTTGCGCAATATTTAGCAATTGAAGCCCACCCCCTATAAAATGCCTCTTTGTTCAGAGTCTTCAGACTAATGAGAAAGAAATTACATGAACTGAACTTATGCTATGTTCAGTCACGTGGAATTGATGTCTTGGAATTGAATTCAGGAACAAAAAAAAAAAAAAAAAAAGATTTCTTGGAATTGGAATTGGTGAAAAATTAGTTGAAACTCCAAAAATTAGTTCAAACTTTAAACTAATTTTTCAACAATTCCAAGTTCCAAAGCGCCAATTCTATGCAACCAAACACAACATTAATGTAAAACAATGCTATTGCTACAATTACCCAAGAGGGCTTAGCTTGCTGATCCCCACAATTACAGTCCTGGCAGCCCGATTCTTCGCCTCTCCCGCTAAAACCTTTCTGATTGAACTTCCTTCAAGGCCTCTCGAATGAGATCTACCTGACATACAACAAATATGAGAAAAAAACAATAAAAATCAGAAAGAGTACCCTTTTTTTTCTTTTTCCTTTTTTCTCATTGAGATGGCTATAAGTTAAGAAAAACAAACCTGTTTTGAATTACATAAACTTCTAAATAATTATCCAACAAGGCACTCTCTCTTGAAGTAGAATCTGTAAAGATAAATCCATGTAACAATTTGAGGATATGAATTTAACAAATCAAATGCATTTCAAGATAGTAAATCTACAAAAGTAAGGAACTTAGAAGGGGGGTGGTTAATATAGGGTTAAGATTTATTTATACAATGATATGTTTCCATTTATTTGCAGGATATTAGGAAATGCAATGTCATAGCAATACAAAGAGCTTATATACAATGGTTAGACAGTAAAAAGAATAAAAACTAAAGGACGTACAGTAGCTGCAGCATATGCCACCATTATGCTGTTCCTCCCCTTGTATGGAGTGACGTTTGTTAGCAACTCCCATAGAACCATTGAAAAGCTGTAGACAATCACCTTATGATCATCTAGGAAGCATGGACATGCCAAAATGGGCGAAGACTCCTTGTCCGACACGTATCGGACACCGACACTTGTTGGACACGCCCGACACATGTCGGACACACCAAAAAACGTGTCTGAAATTTTTTATTTTTTTTAAATTTTTAGACACGGCACGGACACTCCGCAGACATGCATCCGACACGCCAGGGGTGTGTGTCTGAAACGCGTGTCTTATTTTCGGGGGTCTAAAAGAAAATTTTTGAAAGAAAATTGGAATAAAGTATAAATATGTGAATTTATTTAACAACTTTTACTCACTTATGTGGTCAGTACATAATAATTTTAAACTTGTAATTAAATGATACTAGTTATTATTCTAATGTCTTGTTTTTTATTTGGTTTTATAACACTGCAACATTGTTCTTTTATAGTTTATTAGTTATGAGTTATGATTTGTTTATTTCTTCATTGTGAGGCTGATGAAAAATAGTAACACGCAATAATTTTACAAGTACTACATCATATATATATATATATATATATATATATATACACTATTCGCCGTGTCCCGCCGTGTCCGTGTCCTAATTTTTTTGGATTTGCCCTATTGCCGTGTCCGTGCTTCTTACATGATCATAGTGCTTCTTCAACCCCAATTTTAGTGGGTCTATGCTAAACAACTGATTCAAATAAAATGTAAGGCTCAGACTAAAATTTAAGGCAATCTAAATTTTTGTCCCAGAAAGAGTACCTCAGGAGCCATCCACCGGTAAGTACCAGCCTCTGTTGTCATATCTCCTTCTGATTCATCCCTTGCTAACCCGAAGTCAGCTAGCTTGATTTTCTTGATGTCTTCTGTGAGAAGTATATTGCCTACAATAAATATGAATGATTCTAAGTTCAACCGTGTCATCAATTATTTAAAAATTTATGAAAAATGAGTTATTCATTTAAAATAAAAGTAAACAAACTGTAAGAGTGCCACCTGTCAAAAGAACATAAAATCCAAACATCATAATGTGCACACTCAGAGGATGTGTAACTGCATGTCAACCAAAAGCAAAGGTCATTTTGGGCACTTTAGGGCGTGTGCGCGCGTGCAAGTTTGTGTTGTGAAATGATGAGGATGCCTCTCTCTACAGTTTTGTGCTGCTTCAGATATGAGCCAAACGGATTATAAGATCATGAACAGGGGAAAATAAGAACCAAATCGTTTTTCATGCTTAAATCATATCAATCCTAACCAGAAAACCCAGTAATGAAACCAATTTCAAAGACCAATTAGACTACACCGGGTTTCAAATCACGGTGAATGATTCCATTTGCATGCAAATATTCCATTGCTCTAGAAATTCCAAATGCAAAATTTATAGAGCGCTTCAGATCTGGACAACTAGGACGGATGCTCCACAAGTACTTCTGAAGTGTACCGCCTCTCATAAGTGCTGTTATTATCATCATTGTTGGTTTGATATGGGCACCAACGAATTGTTTCAGTAAAGGGAAATGCTAAAAGACCCGACTACTGTTCACCCGACATTAGCCGACACACACTTGTCAAATGCAGATTGGTACAACTGGGCAGACAATTTTTCCCTTTCTTGATGCAACTTTACTTTCTCTCATCTCTCTTTCGATCCTCTTTCTCCCTTCTCTCTCCGGTCGAGAATCCTTCATCTCTCTCGGACGTTCCCTTCTCCCTCCCTTCTCTCTCGGTTAATCACAAGTTTTTTTTTGCTTTCTTGTGAAGACCCATTTCTTCCAAGTCATCATCACCGGGATTTCACTGTCGGCAACCATAAGCCTCCGGCCGGTGCTTGTCTTCTCCATCGTCGGCGTCTCCGTCGCTGATCTGCTTTCTTCTCAATACTTAGACTCGCCAACCTTGATTGTATCGAAACCATCAAACCGTAATGGCCGAGGACCAAACTCACCTCCACCACGGTAGACCCAGTTCCGCCTTTGCTACCCAAACCAGAGTAGACCAACACAATTCCGGCGACGAAGTGAGATGATGGCGATGCCGCGATGAAGTGAGATTATCCCGTCGGCGATGAAGTGAGATGATCCCTCTGGTTTCACAGAATAGTTGGGACGGCGATGAAGATCCGGAGATGTCGATCTTGTCGTGATGGAGGCGGCGGCGGTGAGCAAGAGATGGGCTGTGGTGCTGCACTGATTGCGACTCGCGGCGGCATGATGGCAGTGAGTGTGGGCTTTGGACAACGGTAGAAGCTTACTGTGAGGATGTTGATGGCGGCGCCGGCGAAGAGGGAGATGGCTGGGTCCAATCCGGTCATGGAGAGCCGGCGAAACAGATCCGGGTCTTGGACTTGCAGTGCGGTATGCTTGCGGCAGCGGTGCCCAGCTGGATGGTTCAGACGGTTCGCTGCACCGGCGAGGAGCAGTTGGAGATGGGCAAGCTTAATCGGCTGTGGATGGCGGCTGGAGCTAGTGAACAACAGACGAGGGAGAATGAAAGATGTGAGTTTGATTCTTACAGATTTTGTAGTTTGCAGAGAGGCAGAGGATGGGTTTACCGGTGGTCGCGGAATTTTAGCCCGAAAGATGGGTTCGTCGCCGATTGTTAGAGAGAGAGAGGAGGGAGAGAGAAGGGACATCCGGTTCAACAAAAAAACAAGTAGGAAAATTGCCACGTTGGACAGCCACCTACGCAGTCGGTTTTTTTGGGGTAAATAGTGGTCGGGTCGTGTAGCACCGCTCTTCAATAAAACATCTCATCTTAGTAAATAAAGGAAGGAACATGGATACTTTCAAACAATAAATAGTCCTTGTGTTAAGTTAAGAGAGGAGTGGAGATAAAAGTTAGAAATGTGTACATATTAACAATAATCGCGCCTACATCGCGCCTACTTTCTGGACTTAGACCGCTAAATGCATTTAGAAATAATAGCAAAAATATTAAAAAAAAATAAGTAGCTCCTAAAACAGAAAGGGCAACAACAACTTATTCTCAATACTGCTTTTGTATATAGCCGTCATTGTCATAAAAATTCAGACCTTAATCAAGCAATTTTGAGGCCTGCCACACCTATCCCCACCAATCTTCAAATTTTGGGGCTACATTTAAGATCAATTTGTACTCATATTTACTTTTAGTAAAAATACTGAATGGAGATGGTTAACACTTAACAAGTAACTGGATAAGAAAAGTAACAACCAAAACAACTTATTGAGGTTCACTGGAGCTAAAAGTAGCCTCGGATTGAGGTGTTTCTTGCAAAGACCGGCTTGGTAAGCTCATCACCCATTGCACCACAGACATATTTCTTGCTTCCGGAGCTGGTGGTATCATTGCACTAGCTGTCCGGAGTAGGGGCCAACCAGGCTTCTGCTCTGCAAAGTCCTCTGTTGAAAAAGAAAGTGAATGCAAAGGAAGTTTCCTGTCCTTCTCGGTTGGGCTTAAATTGTCATCTTTTGACTCTCCACTGCCTCTCTTGATCCATCTTCAAAGCTACCAACCACTCCATGACTGTGTCTTGCAATCTCTGATATCTCAGATCACCAAATTCAGAATGGTCATCTTTGAAAGTTGAACTTCCAGCAAGATATAAACCGGGTTTCGAATCTCCTGTCAGACCTATTATCATCAGAATCAAATTCAATACTCCCTCCCCTAAAGATATAACAATAACTGGTTCTTTCACAGAAAGGGATACCGAACTTCTCTTGTCGTTCAATTGAGCTTATGGGAGATTGGACTACTTTTTCAAACAAATAGGAATAACCAAAATGACGCTATTCAAAGTCTTGAGCCACGGCCTAAACAGCAACAACATATGCTCTTTTTGGAACAACCTAAATCGAATTTGGAACAACTTCAATAACATTTTCTGACAAAGAAAATAATAGTATGCTCATAGCCGCGCAATGGTCAGGCCAAGGCCGCAAAAAGAAACATCCAATTGTTTTACACTACGAAAGGCCAGTTCAGTTCTCGACTCAACCTATCAAGTGTCTTCTTCGGCCCCCAGGCCTCTGTTTGCTCAGTTTCACCTTTCGTGACGCAAGATGGAATTGAAAGCAATTTGTTTAGGATCCAAGATAGATGAGCGGAAGGAGTGGTGTGAATTGATCCATGGAACAGATGCTCTAGAGACCTATCTTTTGTTTGGACTTTGGGAAATAGACCACCTGCGGAACCTACTTCTACTTGGTGGCAATTTCATCGCCTTTATAAACAAACGATTTGGCCCTTATAAGGAGGGGAATCCAAGGCTCAGGAAAATAAGAAGCAGATCCGGGGATGGTGAAATCAAAGAGGAGAAGAAAGTTCTCCAGGGACGGACAAGAGCAAGAAGCGTGTCTGTGGGCAAAGAGATAGACTCACTACTTATCCTTTTCTCCCATGCATTTCATCAGGTAACTCCTGTTAAAACAGAACAGGAACGGTCATGAACAATAGATTCAATTCCACACAAATGAGTAGAGATAGGTTAATGACAAAAGATCTAAAGAAAGAATGGAATCGATTGGACGGAGGAAACAGACTTTAGTTTCACTCCAATTTCTCTTGTATGTTCTTTAGTTTGGGAAGCCTCACAACCCCAAAAGCTGCTGAGAAGCATCGGTCAATTGCTTCGTTGAATACTTCTTTCGTACTTGTGGTTCTACATCCCATCTCCTTCGAATTATTTGGCTTTCCCATGAAAGGTAGATGGCTATATGTGGGGGCACTACCTTAAAGAAGTAAAGCCCAAGTGGATGTGGGTCCGCAAGGTTATATAATGAAGAATCTCCACAGGACGCCCTCTGATCCATCTGATCACGGTTACATACTAAAGAATTACATATTATAGGATGGCCAAGTTTAATTCATTTATCACACAAGCGATTAGAAACAAGGATTACAGAAATGAGCTTCTTTTGGGTAACTGTAAAGCGATTAGATCACTTTTAAGGATAGTACTTGCGCCTGTTTTGAATTACATAAACCTTCATAAACTTCTAAATAATTATCCAACAAGGGACTCTCTCTTGAAGTAGAATCTGAAAAGATAAATCCATGTAACAATATGAGGATTTGATTTTACCAAATCTAATGCATTTCAAGATAGTAATTCTATCAAAGTAAAGAACTTAGAGGGTGGCTTGTGTGTAGTACCAAAGTCTCTGGAGACATGAACAGCGAAAATGCAGACACCGGGTTTTGCTACTTTCACAAGAGCCCAATTGAGAAGCTCTCTGCTCTGGCCATCGATTCAGATCCCAACCAACACATTCCTCGTCTCTACAGCCTTAGTCTCCTCGAAAATCATTGTGTTTTTTCCTAATTAAATATTATATGTATAAATAGAAAGAAAGAGAAACTTAATTTTCCTAATAAACAAAAGCATATCTCACTCCCCATTTGGTTTATTGAAAGGGAGAACCTTTGACATAACTCCAAATAATATACCTCAAGGGTTCTCACAATTTGAATAAAATTATTTCACTTCCTTTTGCTCTAAATTGAGTCTAGAGAGGGAATGGAGGTGTTGCATTTGATAAACATCTATTAGAAGGGAGGAGACTGCAAATAAAGAAATTGACATGTTTACACAACACAGAGGAATAAAATTATTTGTTCTATACAAATTATTTAAATGTGCCTTCTGCTCTATCAAATCATTTAAAAATTAGTATATGTCATTGTGCAAAACATTTTCAGGGTTCCTAGAAAGGACAATATTTTCATATGTACTTTAGTGGGGCCCACATAGAACCAAAAAAAAAAAAAAAAAAGGTTCATTGAAGTGGATAGGAAACTTCATTCAAAATTCCCATTTCCCTCTCTCTCTCTCTCTCTCTATTTGGAAACATAAAGGCAAGTGCATTGAAATGAACAGGAAACTTCACCCAGTTTCTCTCTCTCTCACTCTCAGTATAATTACCTAGTCTTTTTTTGTAAGACCTGAGTGTCGTACATGAATATTCTGCCATGTACTCAGTGAAAGGTATATTGATGTATAATTTAGTTACACCCTCAAGAACATCTAGATTTTTACGTAACTGGTTGTTAGCAAACATACATACACTAGTACAAAATAAATACGTTCATCAATATATACACATTGTGCATCAACATGAATATGAGGTGTCGGTCAACCATTACCACGTGATACACCAATGACAATGAATAAAGAAAGAAAGAAAGAAAAATATTTTAAGGCCAGTAAATTCATAAAAAGGAAGAGTTACGACTCTTATAAATCTATAATAACATAACGAAGAAACATGCTCTGGAGTTGCTTGTTTTATGGAAGTTTAAGATGAAATGGTAGATGGCTCATAGATGAGCAAAAGAACTCTTGAATATAAGTCAGTGTTAGGAACACAAGTTTTTATAAAAACAGAATATAGATAGTTAGGGCGTTAAAACTTTAGCCAGCCGTTAATAACGAGAAGAATGTCTTACTTACAATCGATCTGTGATAATACCAATCTGTGCAGACCCACTAGATACTGAAAGAATGTCTACTGGCCATAAGGTTCCCTTCCTGTTTAGGGGCCTGATGCATCATTTTAAGTGCTGGCTTCACCTTCTCTCGAGAACCCCATCCATTTGCCATCACACTCATATTTCTCCACTTGTCCTAAGCCACATAGAGACCAAATAAAATGACACACCATGTACAATAGTCTAGACAGCTAACATATGCTGCAAAATAATCATTTAAATAACTATCATCTAAGTTTCACCAGACTACATTATTATTTCACCAAAAATACTCCCAGAGAACAAATGAAATAACATTTTAAGATTAGTACCTTGATATCTACATTACAAGACACCACTAAATTCTGGATCTTTCTGTATCTTACGCCACTTGCCTGCCCCATGCTTAACAACTCCAGCTCTAAGAGCTGCTGCTTCTTCTGGTGTCCATTTATGCTTAGGATAACCCATCTAAAAAGGACACTCAGAAACCTAGAGAGCACCCTATCATCACAAAAGAGATAACATAACTAACTGAAAAATGAAAAGCAATTCCATACAAAGGCTGAGCTAAATACATTAAGAACTGAAGCTGTATTACTCAATAATAAATCAAGAACAGAAAATTGACAACATATCATATGAATTGACAAAACAAAACATTTTATATATATAATCAACAATGTCATTACATTCATTCAAAAAATAAAAATAATATCTTTACAATGCTGAAAAACAAATAAAAATCAATCAGTTGGCATCTTGAATCGACAAACCGGACAAGAATTATTCAACTCTAGCCAATGAACAAGGCAGTCTTCGTGATAGATGTGAGAGCATGGCATGCAGGTGACTTCCGACCCAACTTCAAACTTTTCCAAGCATATAATACATTGATCCTTGGAACCCTCTATCATCCTCACTTTTTCTAATGCCTCAACCGAAGATTTAGTAGCGGGTACAGTTTCTAACCCATGGTCTTCCTCTTCCTCTTCCTCTTCCTCCACTGATACTGGCCTTACCAGAACATTTATGTCCAACACAAGAAATGGAGCGCTGGTAGTACTAAAACTTGTGTCTACTGTCATGGCACGACAACAGGAGAGAATATCAAAAAATTTGTCACGACTAAGGGAGATTCCCACACTAGAGAGGAATTGAGAGAAGCAAGAGTGTGCTACGTCATCAGACCACAAAACAGCCGTGGAAATTGGGTATTTTGTGCTTCTCACGGTGAAACTTTCTTCCAGAAGAAGAAGATTGAATTTACGGCTGTGAACTCGTACTTCCAGGCCAAACGAATCAGTCGACGGTGGCATCAATTTAGGGTTAATTTCAGCAACACGTTTTTTCAGCTTCCATTCCATCGTTTCAAGATAAAACACCTGATCGTCGTCGTCATCCCAAGAATCGGCCATTATAATTGACAAAGATATCACCCAAAAATGGGAGGAAATGGAAGGAAAGGGAAGGCTAGGGTTGATGTATTATTTCTGACGAACGGCGAACCCGAACTGGAGCAGCGGGCGATGGAAACTGAAAGATATAAAATGGAAAGGGAAGGCTAGGATTGATGCCAAATTTACCCAAAGAGGATTGAGTTTGCAAAACAAGAATTACAGACCTTGATTAGTTGACCGTTAGAAGCAGAACTTGAAATTTAAAATTTCTGCCGTTAGAAGCAGAACTTGAAATTTGAAATTTCTGCCGTTAGGAGCAGAATTCTGCCCAACGAGATACTATTTCTGACGAACGGCGAACCCGGACTGGAGCAGCGGGCGATGGAAAGTGAAAGATATAAAATGGAAAGGGAAGGCTAGGGTTGATGCCAAATTTACCCAAAAAGGATTTAGTTTGCAAAACAAGAATTACAGACCTTGATTAGTTGACCGTTAGCAGCAGAACTTGAAATTTGAATTTTCTGCCGTTAGAAGCAGAACTTGAAATTTGAAATTTGAAATTTCTGCCGAACGAGATATTATTTCTGACGAACGGAAACTGACGAACGGCGAATCCGAACGGCGAATCCGAACTGGAGCAGCGGGCGATGGAAACTGAAAGATATGGGTTTTGATTTTTTGAACAATCTGAAATGATATGCCGATATGGGTGTTGATATAGGTAATAGGTTTTCAACTTTTGATTCATGTAGACAGATAGATAAACTGAAATATATGGGTTTTGAACTTCTGATTTTTGTAGATTTTGTAGTTTGCAGTTGCAGAGAGAGAGAGAGACTAGGGCAAGTTCAAAGTTGAGAACGTGAATAGAGATGGAGGCGATTGGGGAGGCTGAAATTATTTGCCCTAAATTTTTTTTTTTTTTTTCCTAGCGGTTCACCATACATGGGCCTATAAATTTTGAGGGCCCATTAAAATGAAATTAAACTATGGTAGAAATTAATAGTTTAATTTAGTACCTTTACAATTCATTAATGAGAGATTGAACTTTAAAGTTCAAATAGGTAAGTTATAGTTTCATTTAATAGTACCTTTCTTTCGTAACTAATGTTAATTTTTCTTTTCATTTTCACCGTACCAAACACAGCCTTAGGATTTGAATTTGTGGTTGAAGAAGGTGGCCAAGGGTGGGGCTCACAAATGGTTGGAATAAAAAAACAGTCCCCTGCCTAATTTGTGTCTGGACCCTTCACCATGTCGTGGCAAGGCCAAAGCAGCACTCCCCGTGCGCCGTGGCACTTGGCATCCAGACGAGTCGGACGACTAATTAATGGGTTAAAACTAAAAATCATGCTTATGGGTGGGTATTACTATTTTTTTTTTTTTTCTTGCATTGAAAAAAGAATAATTTACTCTCTATAAAAAGTATAATAACTTGCAATTTTAGTACCTTTACAATTCATTAATAAAGAGATTGAACTTTAAAATTTTAATCACATGCTCTAAAAAAATTTGTTTTGATCCAAAAGATAGCTTGAAATGTCTCACAAGACCAGTAAAGAGCATTTCAACTTAATTTGTTCTTGTCATATGTTCATGCATACGAATTCAGTTACCGGTTATAACAATGTTGAGATTTTACCTATTATAATCCAGGATTATACAAATTGTACAGCTATAGGATTGAATTATTTTCTCCTTAATTTAGGACTAACTGGTAGGTAATTAGTTTCCCGATTATTGTATATTTAGTTACATATTTTAGCTAGATATTACTCTATAAATTGAATGTAACACCATCATGAATGATATTGAATAGAGTTTTAATTCTCATATTCTTTCTATAAATTGAATGTAACATCATCGTGAATGATATTGAATAGAGTTTTAATTCTCATATTCTTTCTCTGAATTTCAAGATGGTATCAGAGCCATCTTTGAACCGTGTCTTTGAATCTTTTTGAATTTATTTTTATTTTTATTTTAAATTCATTGAACCATACCTATACACATACACATACCCATACACATACACCAGACCCATCACAAGCCGCAGCCGAACTATTGCCTGCCACTGCTGACGATCTGCCATCGTCGGATCTGAATCTGTCGTGAACCGCTGCACCGCTACCTGCCAGCGACTTTCCAAACGACGACGACGCTGCCACAACGAACCGCTCAACCTCGCCTGCCGGATCTGCTCTTGCGGCCATACCAGAACTGTCGGTCGTCTCCATCGCCGGCTACTTTCCAAACTCACTACCACGAGCCGTCCCCATCGCGCTATCCACTGGCCGTTAATCAGTCGGCCGTGTCCCCATCGAGGCCAAACCAGCCACTGCACCAGTTTGTCCCTGCCGGATCTATTGTCGACGGTGGGCTCTTCTCAGATCAGATCCGCCACTGTCGTCGTCTTCTCCGGCGACGCAAGCCATAATCGTTCTCTGCTGCTGCCTCGCATTCAATTTTTTATTTTATATTTGTCTCTCTTAACAGAGACGCAGCTTAATATATTTTGTGTTATGTTATTTTATTAATATATATATATATATATATATATATATTCCTTAAAAAAAAAAAAAATGAGTGAAAAAAATATTGAATCCTCTGGGACGAAATCAATTCCTACTTTTGTTCAATCTGAAGGTGTTTTTAATGCAGGGATTAATCTTACTGAATCCAATTATGATGTTTGGTCCCAACTGATGGAGATGCATATTGCTGAAAAGGAGAAACTCTCCTATATTCATGGCAAGACTAAGCCACCTACTGAATCAGAAGATGGTTATGACAAGTGGTATACCGAAAATCAGAAAGTGAAGCGGTGGCTATTAACATCCATGACTCAAGAAATTATGAAGCGTTATTTACGCTTACCAATTGCTAGGGTTGCAACTCGGGCGGGCTGGAGACTTAATTCGGGCTCAGCCTATATACAAAATCTTTTGCCCAAGCCCAGCCTGAGCCCGCCTAAAGCCCAATCCCAGCCACCCAAGCCCAGCCCATAATTAACTTCTCTTACCCAAGCCCGCCCATGAGCCCATGCCTCTGTATTCAGAATGTAAAAAATAAGAAATTTGTGCAGCTACAAGGACTCGAACAGCTTTCCTCCAAGAAAATTCCCAAACACATTACCAACTAAGCTATTATACACTTGTGAAATAACATAGTTTTAAAATAAATATGCCCTTTCCGGGCTCGGGCTGGGCTTCGGGTTTTATATAATATCAACCTAAGCCCAGCTTGAATTAAATTCGAGCTTAGAATATATAGCCCAAGCCCAGACCTAGAACAGAAAAACACTGCCCAAGCCCTGAAAATTTCGGGTTGGGCTTGGGTAAATTATGGCTGGCCCAACCCGAGTTACAGCCCTACCCATTGCCTACGAAATCTGGAATGCTCTATCAAAGGTTTTTTATAATGGGAATGATGAGTTACAAGTTTTCACCTTGAACCAAAAGGCCTTCACCGCCAAACAAAAGGGAAAATCTCTATCTGAATATTATGGAAAGCTAACTGAGGTTTTCCGAGAAATGGACCATCGAGATAAAGTGGTCATGAAAGATCCAGATGACATTGAAGCATATCGGAAGTTTATCGAGCGACTAAGCGTTCACATCTTTCTTGCCAAATCGGATGGTGATTTTGAACAAGTTCATGGAGAAATTCTACGTAACGATCCAGTTTCAGACTTGGAAGGCTGCTACTCTTTAGTTCGATGAGAAACGGTACGTCGTGCAACTCTAAAAGGGGAATCCGAAAACTCTGAAGCTTCACTCATGATGGCTCGAAACATGTCTAAGCAAAACTGGCAGCACCGTACTAAACCCAATCAATCTAAAGCCACCAACGGTGCAGACAAGTCTACCTACAAATGCACCTATTGCAATCAAACTGGTCATACCAAAAGTCGTTGTTTCGAACTTATGGGATAGCCGGAATGGTGGGATCATAGTCGTTGGAAGAAGAATTCGACGAAGACCTCCACTGTAGCAATTGTTAAGACAGATGATGATGGTGCTGACAAGGCCTTGGGGTTGGTAGAAACTGGAGATAATGGTGGTAAGGTTTTAAATATTTCTACACATGTTGTTAATAGTGCATGGATAGTTGATTCTGGTGATACAGATCATATGACATTTGAGTCTAGACAGGTCTCCTCTCTTGTAATACCCCTAATTTAAAAGGATAGACCTGAAATTTATGTAATTGTTTAAGTTGCGTTTTTATTTATTTAATGGTGAATTTGTTTTGATTTAATTGTGAATTAATTGTAAATTGTTTGATTTGCTTTAATTGAATTTTAAAATTTTTAATTGTTTATTTGAATTGCTTGTTACTTGTTTAATTGTGTGAATTAGTATTGACTTGTTAATTAAGTTTAGGTTTTTATTTTGGTTGTTATTTAATTGGATTTAGGTTGGTAGAATTAATTATTTAATTGTATTTTATTTTTCTGTACTATGTTAATTGAACTTAGGGTTTTGGTTTTATTTATTTTTCTAGCCGACTTAGTTTTTCACGTCTAGTATTAAGACTAGAATTAGGGTAACCTTAATCCTATAAATTTAGGTATTAAGTTCTGCCTAGGATTTTTAGAAAACCCTATTCACGTATGTAAAGGCAGAGAGAGAGAACAGAGGAGGAGTTTTGCAGTAGAAATCGCCGGAGACCTTAGAAGACGACGTAGAGATTTTGAACAAAAGTCTCAAAGGCAAGTTCTAATCATAAATCCTTCCCTTTGCCTAGTGTTCTTTGCACGTCTAATACAACTCCAAGGAATATAAGGATTAAAATTTAAACTGAAATTTTCCATGCCTCTGTTGTGTTAAAACTGTAGATGTTTGTAAATTATATACTATTGTTTAGATGTTTTCCTGTATACCATATAATTGCATTTATGTTAATTAATGAATAAAGGGGTTTAATCAATTTTGGAACACCTTGGGACAACATTAAACTAAATATGGTTCGTGTGGGTGTTCACCTGAACAGTATGTTCATGGATGGGAAAAACATTCCAGTTTAAATTCTGTGGTATAATTCATGATTAATTGGTATCATTGGTTGAATAAGGAATTTAAATGGCTTTTGATCATACTGGAATCTAATTTAAACACTTAGGAACCCTAGGGATGAAGGTCAATTCATCAGAAACTCACCGGAATTGAAAACGATGAAGACACAGGAAGAGAGATGGCTCAAAGTTTAAAGAGCAGGCTCTTAGAAACCAAAGAGCCGGCTCTAGGGGACTTGGAGCCGGCTCCAAGACTGGGAGAGCTGACTCCAAGCAAGAAAGAGCAGGCTCTTTCTTTGGAAGAGCAGGCTCTTTCAACCGGTTTCCAGATTTTTGTTTTTCTACGACCTGTTTGGCTACGGAACTCGGATTTTGGGATTTTCTGATTTTGGAGGAAGCTATACTTGGGTGTGTTGAGATGTTCCAAGTCTAGTTAACACTTGAGAGAGTGGATTAATGCTTATAAACCAGTAGGTGTTTATAGCTTGAACACTGGTAAGTCTCGACGGAAATTGTTTTATTTCAGTGCAGAGGAATGTTAAATTATTGAACCTTGATTTATTTATTTTCTGTGAATGGAAAATTGATTAATATGATATTATTAATAGTGACAAGCATGATAATTAATATGGTTATTATTATACTTGGCATGGATTTATAAACGAGGAAATAAATTATCTGCATGCTCAGAGTAAGATAATTTGTAATGGAGATATGGGATGAATATGATAGTTTATCTATTTACTTTATGTTCGTCATGGATTTAATTGATATATCTTATTATTTTTATTTATCAGTTGCTGGAGTAAACATGTTAGTCTATACTTCTATTTATGCTTATTATGGTTCAGTTGTTATGTGCATTGATTTTGTATTCTATCAACTGTTGGATGGATTGGATTGTATGTACCGGTATGGGACGGTGACATACTAGGTTTGGATTAGCTCAAATTGCTAAGTCCTACCTACTTTGGAATAAGGATATGGATTATAAAAATAAAATCCTCCTTATGTATAAGTCTGTGTGGTTGAATAAACTGAATGATTTAAGTCTGTGCGATTGAATATGCTGAACGACTTACTGGATTTCTTATGGATGAATGTGAACGGATTTTAAATATATTATTATGGTACCGTGATATGAGCTTGAGTCTCAGAGTCGACGGTTAGGGAGCGTATATGCAGTAGGACGCGTAGCTGGCTATGCTGGTTGAGGTGTACCCTGTTAGGTTTAGGTAGTCATGCCCACTCAGGTGTGTTTTGCATGTTACCTTCTACTCAGGTTGAGACCCGTATCATAGTCCAATGAGAGTCCATAGTGTGGATATATATATATATATATATAGACACGGATTATATAGTTATTGTTGAGTTGGTTAGAGTGTATATGCGTATCGAGTCTTTGCTTGGATTGTAGTAGGATAGAACTTGTTCGTGGGCCTGACCCACTCTTATTTTTCAGGTGTACGTCGGTTCCAGGCTTGAGCTTGTTCGTACTGAGCAGAGGCGATCACTCATTCTTCCGACGACGTAGGAGCTCTATTCATATGGTTTTCTTTTAGTTTTTCAGTTCAATTTGGTTTTCTTATTAGGGGTCCACATGATGGATTCCCGAGTTGTACCCTTGGAGGTTTTGGAGTTGGATTATTATTATCTGGGATTGTAAGTATTTAATTTTAAAGGATTTTATATTTTAGATTTCTTTCAGCTTAAACTATTATTTCTTAAATTCATCTTGCATTCTGTGTTCGTTTTAACATATTAATTGTTTAATATCCCTCTGGTTTGGGCCTGATCAACTCGTGTCTCGGATCCGAGGGATATCACACCTCTGAATTCCTCCTCACAATAATTTATTTCTATTGCTAATGGTACTTCGACCTTAGTTATTGGAGAAGGATCTTTGACACTCACTGATAATCTGCATTTAGATTCTATTTTAGTTATTCCATCTTTATTTTATAATCTTTTGTCAGTTTCCCAGATAACCACAACTTTATCTTGTGTTGTAATTTTTTGGCTTGATTTTTGTGTGTTTAAGGACATCCAAACAAAGCAAACGATTGGTTGTGGTATTAGGCGAGGGAAGCTGTATTACTTGGACTTGTTGTCAAAAAGTTCCGACAAGCGTTGACAGTGGATGGTTATGAGGGGGAGAAAAAGAAATTTAAAATCTGGCTGTGGTATCGACGTTTGGGGCATGCTTCTTTTGGTTATCTGAAAAAATTATTTTCTAGTTTATTTGAAAATTTTGATGGTTCTATTTTACGCTGTGATGTTTGTGAACTAGCAAAGAGCCACTATGCTTCGTTTCCATTATGTTTGACTAAAAGTCCACTTCCTCTTATGATTATACATTCTGATGTTTGGGGTTCGTCCAAAGTCACTACTTGAGGTGGATCATGTTGGCTTGTTACTTTTATTAATGACTGTACCAGGATGACCTAGTTGTGCTTGATGAAATCCAAAAGTGAAGTGAACTTATTGTTTCAAAAATTTCATAAAATGGTTGTAACTCACTACAATGCATATGTTCAGGTTCTCCGTAGTGACAGTGGTGGAGAATATGAGAGTTTTGACCTTCAACAATATTTGGAAGCACATGGAACTATTCATCAAACCACTTGTTCCAATACACCCCAGCAGAACAGGGTTGCAGAGCGAAAAAATCACCACTTGTCAGAAGTTGTTCGTGCTTCCTTGATAGAAGCTCATATGCCGTTATCGTATTGGGGAGAAGCACTTGCCTCTGCAGTATATCTAATCAATCGAGTACCTTCCAGCTCTATTGACTTCTAGACACCATTGTAGGCTCTCATTGATGCAATTGTTGCCCCAACCGTCCCAAATCTACCTCTTCGTGTCTTTGGTTGTGTAGCATTTGTACACCTCCATAAGCATCAACGCAACAAGCTAACTCCTCGAGCGCTGCGATTTGTTTTTCTCGGATATGCTACTCATCAAAAGGGGTATCGCTGTTGTGACCCTCCAATTAACAAATGTTTATCACCATGGATGTTGTCTTCCATGAAGACTTGTATTTTTTCTCTGCGTCTGAACTTCAGGGGGAGTACTAGAAAGAAATTCAGACTCTAGATTATGATTATCACATTATGTGTCGAACCATCATTTGTCAGAATCAAATTTGTCATTTGTAAGTCAATTATCTACTGCATCTATTCCTAACAGTGTGCAGGAAGCTTTAGCTGACCCTAGGTGGAAAGCAGCTATGAAAGAGGAGATAAAATCCTTACAGAAAAATAAAACTTGGAAACTCATTGATCCTCCACCAGGAAAGAAACCAGTAGGATGTCGATGGATTTACACTGTGAAGTATATAAAGTCGATGGCATAGTTGAACACTTTAAAGCAAGATTAGTGGCAAAAGGTTACACCCAAACCTATGGAATCAATTACACATAGACATTCACACCTGTAGCCAAAATCAACACAGTTCGTGTCTTGTTGTCTTTAGCTGTGAACTTGGATTGGCCATTTCAACAATTTAATGTGAAGAATGCCTTTCTGCATGGTGAATTATCTGAAGAAGTCTACATGGATTTCCCACCAGGATGCATGATACCCGAAAAGTATAGTCGGAAAATCTACAGGTTAAAGAAATCATTATATGGGTTGAAACAATCTCCGAGAGCATGGTTTGGAAGATTCACAAAGTCGATGATAGCCTTTGGCTACTGTTAGAGCAATTCAGACCACACATTATTCCTGAAGAAACAACAGGGTAAGATCACTGCACTTATTGTATATGTAGATGACATGGTGGTTATAGGGAATGATCCTGAAGAAATGAAGGCTCTCAAGAAGTACTTGTCCAGAGAATTCGAAATGAAAGATCTAGGTCCTTTGAGATATTTTCTTGGGATCGAAGTATCTCGATCTAATAAAGGAATCTTTCTATCTCAAGCAAATATGTCATAGATCTATTACAAGAGACTGGCACGACAGCATGTCAACCAGCTGAGACACCAGTGGAAGAAGGACTAAAGTTATGTGTTGAGTCCAACCAAGTACCTGCTAATAAAGGAAGATACCAAAGACTTGTAGGGAGATTGATGTGCTTAGCACACACGAGACCGGATCTGGCTTATGCATTGAGCATTGTTAGCCAGTTTATGCATGATCCTAGAGAGCAACATATGAATGCAGTTATGCGCATTTTGAGGTATCTGAAACCTACTATTGGAAAAGGAATTTTATTCACTAAAAATGCTGGTTATCAGAACATAATTGCATATACTGATGCTGACTGTCCTGGAGCTATAGATGATAGGCGATCTATTTCTGGTTACTTCACTTTTGTAGGAGGTAATCTTGTTACATAGAGAAGCAAGAAACAAAATGTTATTGCTCGCTTGAGTGCAGACGCTGAATTCAGAAGTATGGCGTTTGGACTTTGTAAAACTTTGTGGTTAAGACTTCTCTTGTGGGATTTGAGTTATCTACCTGGGCAACCGATTCAACTATATTATGACAATAAAGCAGCATGTGATATTGCCCATAATCCAATTCAACATGATCGTACGAAGCATGTTGAAATAGACAGATTCTTCATTAAGGAGAAGTTGGATGGAAAAATTGTAGAGTTGCCTAAGATTCGATTTGAGGTTCAACTAGTCGACATTCTCACCAGAGCAGTTTCAAATCAAGTGTTTTCAGAATTTTTAGACAAGTTGTGCATGTGTGACATCTATGCACCAACTTGAGAGGGAGTGTTAAGATTTTACCTATTGTAATCCGGGATTATACAGATTGTACAGCTGTATGATTGAATTATTTTCTCCTTGATTTAAGATTAATTGGTAGGTAATTAATTTTCCGATTATTGTATATTTAGTTACCTATTTTAGCTAGATATTACTCTATAAATTTAATGTAACACCATCATGAATGATATTGAATAGAGTTTTAATTATAATATTCTTCCTATAAATTTCAAGAATATTTTGCTGCCACCTCCGGTTACCTTTAAAATAATTTATCAAACTCCTGGTACATAATTTAGACAATATAATCAGAACATACATTTTGTGTTGCAAACTTGAACCCCTCATATATATTTTTTTTTGGGCCTTTTCCATTCATAAATTTACATGATTCAGTGTCTACATACAAAAACCACCTCATCATTGGGTGCAGATTTTTTATTTTTATTTTTTTTTCCTTAAACTATACAGGGACAAACTACACACTCAACTAGCTTAGCTGGTAACAGAAATTTTTTGAATTCAAATAAATTGAATTTAAATAGAATACAAGAGAAGCTAATCTAAGCTTGGCGATCGACTACATCTTCCTTTAAAGTAATCCTCGAGGGAAAGTCTACTGCTTTGCTCCATGCTGCTGAAAGATGTGGAGTTGTCATCCAAATCAAGGAGCGCGACACCCAAATGGGACTCGGCACTTGAGTCTGGATAAACTTCATCATCATTACTTTCCTGGTTTTCAGAATTATTCCTGTCCCCAAACTCGGAATTCACCCACTCATCCACGCCTTTCTCCCCTCTTAAGATCTTCAGTATCTAATATATAAGAAAGAGTAAACAAGGAATTGTAAGTGCGATGCTAAAGGGGTGTTTAAGAATAGGTAAACATAGTGAGCAACCATTATGGAACTGCTATTACCTCGTTCATTTTAGGACGAAGCCTAGCTGATCGTGTGAGACAGAGGGTTGCTGCTAGAGCCATTCTCTGGATTTGAACCTCACTAATTTCATTATCCAAATTCGGATCCAATATGCTTGCCAAATCCCCTCTCTCTAGTTTGGGTTTTGCCTAAAAATGAAGTAAGTACTTGATTATTTACATAACTGGAACACTTTTGGAAGTGAAAAGTTTGTGTTATAGAGAAGGCCCTTACCCACATGATCAAGCTTTCTTGTCCCTTGGGAGTCTCTGAATTGATCGGTTTTCTCCCTGATAACAATTCAAGGAGCACTACACCGAAAGAGTAGACATCAATTTTGTCGCTGACTTTCCCATACATGAAATATTCAGGAGCCAGATATCCAAAAGTTCCTACTACGTCGCTGTGTGTTAGAAAAGGTGAAGTCGTTGGTCCCCATATCGCGAGCCCAAAATCAGATAACTGCAACAGAAATGACAATCAGCCATACTGTAAATTATAATAACTTCGATCTGTATTAGTCCAGCGAAGCACCTGTGGTTCAAACTCATCCGAGAGAAGAATGTTCGAAGATTTGACATCTCTGTGAATAATAGGCGGAAAACATTCATTGTGCAAATAATTTAGAGCGTCAGCGATCCCAACAGCTATATTGAATCTCACTTCCAATGACAAAAGGGGTTTTGCTTTGTTATAACCTGCCTTGTAGAACAATTACATATTAGCATAGTTTTGAAGAAAAAAAAAATCATGAATATCAGCAGAAGCTTTTTACCATGTAGATTTTCCTCCAGGTTTCCTTTAGGCAGTAAATCATATACAGACATTAGATCTTTATCTTCAACAGAAATTCCAAGCAGAGGGGTGATATTTTTGTGCTTCAAAGAGGTCATAATATTGACTTCCAGGGCGAAATCCTTCCATGCTTCTTTCGACGACTTCAAAATCTTCACCGCCACTGGCTTGCCCTCGGGAAGAAGCCCCTTGTATACACAGTTACACCCTCCTTTCCCGATCAAGTTTTCTGCAAAGAAACCAGATGTTTAGGAAGACAATACAATTAAAAGAGGAATTAAGTTGTTATTTCACAACCAAATTAGAGGCAGTAACCTGAGGAGAATTGAGACGTTGAAATTTTCAAAATTCCATGACGAAACCACTTGCAGGCAGATGAATTTGTTTTGAGGAGAAGCTCCAAATTTTCTCGTAGCTCAATCCTGCCTGCAAAGTCGATACTCTCTGTTCCCAAAGGAATCCCGGTTCTACTTGAGCTAAAACTAGCCTCGGATTGAGGTGTTTCTTGCAAAGACCGGCTTGGTAAGCTCATCACCCATTTTACCACAGACATATTTCTTGCTTCCGGGGCTGGTGGAATCATTGCACTAGCTGTCCGGAGTAGGGGCCAACCAGGCTTCTGCTCTGCAAAGTCCTCTGTTGAAAAAGAAAGTGAACGCAAAGGAAGCTTCCTGTCTTTCTCGGTAGGGCTTAAATCATCGTCTTTTGACTCTCCACTGCCCTCTCTTGATCCATCTTCAAAGCTCCCAACCACTCCATGGCTGTGTCTTGCAATCTCTGATATCTCAGAATCACCAAATTCAGAATGGTCATCTTTGAAAGTTGGACTTCCAGCGACATATAAACCGGGTTTCGGATCTCCTGTCAGACCTATTATCGTCAGAATCAAATTCAATACTCCCTCCCCTAAAGAAATAACTATAATTGGTTCTTTCACAGAAAGGGATACCGAACCTGCTAGTTGGTTCGCTGCACTCCTTCTGAAGGCAACCTTCCCATTGTGGATAGCTAGAACTTCAGTTGTTGGAGGAAGTCGCTTTGCGCAATATTTAGCAATCGAAGCCCACCCCCTGTAAAATGCCTCTTTGTTCAGACTAATTAGAAAGGATTTACATGAACTGAACTTATGCTATGTTCAGTTGCTTGGAATTGGTGTCTTAGAATTGGAATTGGTGAAAAGTTAGTTGAAACTCCAAAAATTAGTTCAAACTTTAAACTAATTTTTCAACACTTCCAAATTCCAAGGCGCCAATTCTATGCAACCAAACAGAACATTAAAGTAAAACAATGCTATTGCTACACTTACCCGAGAGGGCTTAGCTTGCTGATCCCCACAATTACAGTCCTGGCAGCCCGATTCTTCGCCTCTCTCGCTAAAACCTTTCTGATTGAACTTCCTGTCAAGGTCTCACCAATGAGATCTACCTGACATACAAATATGAGAAAAAAAACAATAAAAATCAGAAAGAGTACCCTTTTTTTTCTTCTTTTTTCTCATTGAGATGACTATAATTTAAGAAAAACAAACCTGTTTTGAATTACATAAATCTTCATAAACTTCTAAATAATTATCCAACAAGGGACTCTCTCTTGAAGCAGAATCTGTAAAGATAAATCCATGTAACAATATTAGGACTTGAATTTAACAAATCAAATGCATTTCAAGATAGTAATTCTATTAAAGTAAAAAACTTGGAGGGAGGCTTGTGTGTAGTACCAGAGTCTCTGGAGACATGAACCGCGAAAACGCAGTCACCAGGATTTGCTACTTTCACAAGAGCCCAGTTGAGAAGCTCTCTGCTCTGGCCATCGATTCGGATCCCAACCAACACATTCCTCGTCTCTACAGCCTTAGCCTCCTCGAAAATCATTGTGTTTTCTCCTAATTTTAGATTACATCTGTGGACTCAATTTGCTCCTAGATTTGCAAAACCTCTGCAAACAACATCACAGTACTTTATAAGATCATGCAAATACTCCTCTCTACAAATGTTCAAAACCCTAGCTAATTAAACAAATCTAGTGCTCCATATAAATACAATCAAAGCTCTCATTACTAAAATTAAATGATACCCATTGACATATTACCATAATAAAATCGATCAAACCTATGCAAATACCATCACACTACTTTATAAGAACATATAAACACTCCCCTTCACAAATGTCCGCAACCCTAGCTAATTAAAGAGCCAAATCTAGTGCTCCATATAAATACAATCAAAGCTCTTATTAATGAATTTAAATGATACCCATTGACATATTACCATAATAAAATCCAAATTGGGTGTTCTAAACAAATCCAAAAGAAAATTCTAGTTTCCACAATGAATTAAAAATTCAAAGTAAAACCCATAAGACACACATGACCATACATTATAAAGGAGATAAGTAATATATATATATATATATATATATATATATATATATGCTGAATTGGGAAAAAATAGATGAGACCCGACAACAGAAATCTACCTAAAAATTGAATTGATTTGTTGTTCAAGCCCATCATCTTATAAAAGTGAAAATGCCGCCAAAGATCATCATCTGTGTACCTGCTCTTCAGCTAACAAGCAATTAAAAAATGAAAACGGTGGGCTATAGGTGACGATAAAGGTTGGTGAAGCAAATTGTATTATGGGTGGGTTTTAAAAAATATATGAACGAGATTTGAAGAATCAGTGAGAGAGAGAGGTGCAGAGGTAAAGAAGAAGAAGTTAGGATTATCGATGGCCGGAGAGAGAGAGAGAGAGAGAGAGAGAGAGAGAGAGAGTTCCCGCGAAAAATGGAAAAAGAAGTGGTTCAGTGGTTTGGGGGTCTGTGTCTTTTGCTTCCGTTAAAAAAATACTCCGTAATACTAATAAAAACCGACTGTGGTTCGCGGGAAACCCATGATATCCGGTCACTTGTAACGACCGACGCTTGTGGCTGAGAAATCTCCACCGGCTATTGCGGGTTGATCAACAGGAGGTTACATCACAATCACTATGCCCCCACTAATAAAAACCCTTTTTTTTAAAATAAAAAAAAAATCAAATTACACTCACCTCCATCATCTTTTTAATAATTGTATTAGAAACCACACAATTGGAATTTTTTTTTAAAAATATTTTTCTCGCAAATTCAAACAATTGGACTTATAAATACAAAACATAACCAAATCAATTCTAACATATATATACTTTTTAATATAACCAAATCAATTCTAGCATTTTTTTTATAAGACGAACTGAACTGAAAATAATTTGAATAGATTTTTATTTTTAAGGCATTGGGGTTACCACACTTGGATTAAATCAAGTCTTATTCAACCTAATATTTATGACGTAAAAAAAATTTTAATGTAACTTTTTTTTCTTTTTAAGATTTGCATGTGATAAAGCAATATAATATATTGGTATGTTACACATGTATATATGAATGAGAATTAAGATTTAGAAAATAAGATATAAATGCAAGTCTATGATAATAAATGCCCATATTATAGAATCAACCCATGCTATTTGAATTAATTTGTTGTAAAAAAAAAAAAAATTTCGAAAAGTTCTCGTGTAATTCATTACCTGTTTAGACACAATTATCATGAACAAGGTCATTTCAACATAAACCCTAACAAAAATATACATTAACTCTTTAGCTAATATATATATTTTATAGTATTTATTGTTTGATTGAGTATTATAAATAATTTAAATAATATAATGATTGATTTTGATAAATAAGTCATTAAACAACTTAACACGTCTAATTCATTTAATAAAAAAGTCATGTTAGTATTAAAGGTTTCTAACAGAATAATCAAATAGGTTGGGTTCTGATTAATATTTTCAACACGATACGATTGTAACTAATAAACACGAATTGTTACTCCTATCGATAAGGTAGACAAATGTAATTTTAAAAAGTATTGAGGAAGTTATTTGAACTCCAAGAACTTTAGGGACATTATTGTAATTTAGTCTATTTGCACAATAGCTTTCTAGTCAACTTTAGGTGTCTCTGTGTGCTTTCTATAGCCATCACACAAAGTAAACATGGTCTTTAGTTTAAAAATATTATTCCATTTTGAACCACAAGGTTACTTTAGTTGATCCATTGACTGAGAAACAAATAGTCTAGTAAATAGACGACCCCATCAACCAATAAAAAAGAGGTCGTCGTAACTAGCTTGTTACCTTTTTCTCCTTGTTTTTAGTATGAAGTAGGGTCATCTACGTCTTTATCATAAATGGAGGGAGAATATTATTACTCCTTTTGAATGATTTTAATATTCTTCATTGATTTAATTAATCTAACTTAATCCCATTTACTCGGTAAAAGATTTAAATTTAAACTTGTTTTTGTAAATCACGACAAGTCGAATACGAATAGTCCATAACTCTCTCTATCTCGTTAGACTGGCTAAAATATTTATTAAACTGGGTTAGTGAATATATTCGTAATTAAAGTTTATATTGATTTATAAAATTTTCATTTAAAAATATTTATCAAACGTGGTTAATGAACAGATTTGTAATTAATGTTTAGATTGATTTATTAAATTTTTTGGGTTAAATGTTCTAACACATTTTCTTTTATTGCTCACCGATTAAACTAGTGAAAAAAAATCTAAACATCCTTCATGTTTGGCTAACTTTTCTTTGACACCTCATTCCTTTAATTGACTGTTAAAAAGTAAAAAGTTTAATAATTAAAAAAATATAATGTCAAAACTACACTTGACTAGAGAAGATGAGATGAGATGTCTCAGGCCATAAATGAGTTTGAGACCAACTAGGCTATAGAAGATGGGACCTTGACTTTTTTCGTTTCTTTTCTATTAAATTACATGTTTTATTGAGGCATATATTAAACATATTATGAAATTATATATTGACATATTATTAGATGTTTAATTGAGGTATATGATTAGTAAAACTAATTATATGCTTCATGCTGACTAATGATTTAATTTTCTGATCAATGCAATTTATAAAATGAAGGAAGACAAAGGGAAAAAATAAGAAGAAATAAATAGAGAAAAAAGATGACATCATATTATAAACATTATATAAAAACATATTGTGAAATTATATATTAACATATTATTAGATGTTTAATTGAGGTATATGATTGGTAAAACTAATTACATGCTTCATGCTGACTAATGATTTAGTGTTTCCCATCAATTCAATATATAAAATGAAGAAGACAAAGGGAAAAAATAAGAAGAAATAAATAGAGAAAAAAGATGACAACATATTATGAACATTATATAAAATATATTAAGTAATTTTCAATTTATATTGTTGGCTTAATCAGGTAAATTGTGTATCATGATTCAAAATCAATTTCATAATAATTTAATTGGATTGATTTTAAAATATATATATATATATATATCTATTCATAATATTAATCAATTTCATAGTAATTTCATTGATTGATTTAAAGAAAAAATCAAGAATCAAATCATTTTAGGAATACTAGATGTTGTTTTTTGGATTTTTGGTGAGATGCTCAATCATGGGTGTATTTCAGATTCTTATACATAAGTACAAGCACTTCTTAGATTCATATCTTATACCTAAATTAAAATGCTATATCTAAGTTAATTTAGGTTAATATTTGTGTTCAAAGTAAAATAACTTAAATTGGTGAAGAGGGATTTTGGCATTATATTTTTTTAACTAGTTGACTTTTGACTCTTTTGTAACAATCAATTAACAGAAGGGAGTGTTAGGACAAAGGTTAACCCTAAATTTTTACATCAATTTATTTTATTTTTTTATTTGTGTAAGTGGATACGAATATTTCTTCTTATCTTGTACTAGAAATAGTAACATTATTAGTCTAAGTCAAAAGGTTGGACATCTATATATATTTAATCCGTACACGACAGAAAGTAGTGGATGTTGCCCATTAAAAGACTTCTTCGCTGGTCTCGTCAAAGCCACGTACGCATCTTCATCAATTTCAAACTCGAAATCATACAATAAGATATTAAAATATTTAAAAATTATAATATTAAACTAGAATATTTTTTTTTCTCTAAACTATTTTTTGTTTGATAAATTACCCCGACTCTTCCTGTTGTTTGGCCAAATTACTCATTGGCAAAACTGTTTTAAAAAGTATAATCAACCTCCCTTGAAAGTTATGCACAATCACTTGACCTCGCATACCGACAATAAGGAATTAAGTTCTCAGAGAAATAATGTTCAAATATTGAAACAAGCATGCACACACCAACTTTTTAAAAGTAGGACACGAATATCACTTAGACACTGCTATATATAAATATAATTTATATTGAGTAATAATATTATAAAATTTTAATTTATTTTTAATTTTTATACTAAGATTTATAATGAGTTTATAACATATATACAATTATTCAACTACTTTGTCATAATAGGGTTTTTCTTTTAAATGAACAAATATTATTTAATGTTTCGCTTCTAATCATATGTGTATTATGCCAATTTTTCTTAAAAAAAAAAGTTGAATACTTTAGAATATATTCATATTATTTTCAAGATTACCAGATAGGCTTATATTAGAAATATTTGAAATATCGGCCTAAGTGTCGAAGAAATATCGGCGAAACGTCCGGATGTGTTAGGAAAGTGTCTAAAATAATAAAATATTATTTTTATTTACAAACACATATATAAAGTGTCAGATACGTGTCCGATGAGTGTCGGTGTCCGACATGAGTAAGACACGTACGTGTACGACTCCTTCGTAGAAGTGTTCGTGCTTCATAAGATAACAAGAATGAAATAAAATGACAATAGAATGAAGTTGTGAATGAAATGAAAATAGAAATGGATTAAATGCTAATTTATTCTATTGTTTAGTTAAAAATATGAAATAATATAGGAATGAAATAATAATTATCATTCTAAGTGGTGGCGTTGGAAGACGACGTTGGTGGAGGTGGTGGAAGGTGGTGGTGGTGGTTGCAAAAGGCGGTGGTGACGGTGAAAGGCTATTGTGGTGTGGTGGTGGAAGGCAGTCATAAGGCGGCAGAAAGCTGCAATAGCGGTGGTGGCGGCGGAAAGGGTGACAGTGGTGGTTTTTTTTTTAGAAATTTGATTTATTATTTGATTTATTTATTTTTTTAAGTTCTACTTTGGAATGGAAAGACCATTTCCATATGTTTATATGTGAAATGGATTTTCATTCAAAGAGAATGGTTATTCTTACTTTAAATTTCATAGCAATCTAAAGAATAGTGGAATGGGAATTCCATTTTAGTCTATTCATGAGCTCCAAACTAGGCCTAAATGTTTCTATTAACTATATCAAATGATCATTTGACCCAATTTTAATTAGAGAAACTCATCTTTACTGATAAGGAGTCTTCACCCAAGAAGTTTGACCGTCATACGGTTTATAAAGATGGATAAGTTCTAGTACCTTGGATAAAGATGAAGAGAGGTTCGCCATTTGTGTTAGAGAAGTAAAGTGTATAACTTTCCTATTTTAATACAACTTGGCACCCCTATAATGGGGTGGTTTGGGTAAAAAAAAAAGGTACGACACAAATCCCTAGGCAATACTTCCCTCTCTTCTACCACTTTTCCGATCTAGCACTGACTTGATCGTCGGAGGTTCTATAATGTCCCAGATTTTTTTGGATTTTTTAAATTTATTTTTTCATGCCTTGTTTTGCGTGCCATGCGGGCCCCGAAGGCCTTTAGGTCATTTTCTTGAGCCGAGAGTTTTATAAGTGCATTTTTAATTACTTTAAGCCAATTGAAAGTGGCATGGTTATGTTTAGAATTTTTCGAAAGTCGGGATGACTTTCGAGCTCGGGAACTTCTCCCCATTTTCTCATTTTAAGTGAGGGGTGTTGTTGGCA